GTTGTGCTGTGCTCTTCCAAGCAAGCACATGTGGATACAAATCATTTGTACCCTAATGTCTTTTTTACTTGTTTCTGCACCTTATTTTTGGAGACAGGCTCTTTCACCGAATCTAGAGCTCATCCTTTGGTTGACTGATGAGCTCCTCAAATTCGCTTCTCTCACTTTCCAAGTGCTGCGGTTATGTCTGGCATTTGTGAGTGCTGAGCATCCAATATCAAGTCTTCTTTGTACAATAAACATCTTTCCCACTGAAGTCCTCCTATGATTTTTCCTTATTTAACATGTAAGAAAGATTTTTTGCCAAATATGTGTTGTCAAGGCATACCATGCTACCCAAAGTAATCAGTTATGTAAATAACTTTGGCCCATGTGATTGTATTTCTGAAGAAACGAGCATCATTTCAGTAGCATAAGTGTTATTGAACAGCTGGCAGTTTTGCTCAAAGTATGATCTTACTAATATTATGGACAGGGATTTAGTGTAAGGACCTCTACTGTGTGCAAACTCTAGAACAGGGCACACGGTTTTCTGTTCGAGCTTGTGGAATCTGCAAGTATACATTTCTGACAACCTCCCAAGCCTTAAATTTGCAGACAGAAAATTTAAATGAGAATGTCTGATCTGAATATGCATGCCCCCTCTAGTAATGGTATTCCAGGCGCTTGACACTAATTTGGTATGCATTCGAATATTTTTTATTATTATTTGAAAGTTTTACAGGCTTAACTGATGCAGATAAGGATGGAAGCACACACATTGGTGTGGTAGAACAGTTGATGTACCTTCCCAAGCTATAGAAACCATTTTTAAGGCTATAGTCTAAGAAATCTGGTTCAATGCTGTTTATAAAGAATATAATTTAACTCATTGTTTTGTGAGCAATTATAATCACCCTTATACACCATTCTGTGACTGGCCTGTTCACTTTTAAATAACTGTCATTGTTTTCTAGAAGAACATAGGTACTATTTGCTTTTTCAATCTCCATATCTGCCATGTGACATATTATTGAATTGCTATTGGCCTTTGCCAAGGAAAATTATACTTTGTTCTTGGCTCCGCTGCTTTCTATATTCACAGGTAATTATGGAATTATTGTTTTTCTAAATTTTCTATAAGATAGAAGGAATATGATGGAAAGCACACACCTCAAAAAACAGGAATTGTGAGGAAAATCTTCGTTATTATCTTAAAGGGAGAGATGACAGCCAGTATTTTAATTTATTCTGGACAGGTTAACAACCTCTCTGAGAAGACTGCTAACAGGTTCACATATTAGTAGATCTGAGATGTGTATTTCTTGGCTGTAAAGGCAATATAGCCAACAAGTTAGGATTGGAATGGCCAGCCCTGATAATGCAATCGAGAGCCTCTCTGTGGGTTTTCAGCTGAGTCCATAGCACGTGTTAACATACCAGACTTAATGGGGAAGCATGACAAAGTGTCCACAAAACTATTTTAGGAGACACAAGACACAAGAACTTTGAGAAGGTGAGTTCCTACAGCTCACAAACTACACAAAGGTAGAGCAGACTCAGTGACCGCTTTCTAAGAATTTTCTTCAGGAAAAAGCCTACGGTTGACTCTAGTATGCGTTGTTCTTACGCCAGCGACCTGTAACCCTGACTGTTTAAACATGCTCCAGCCTTTACCCTTTACACAGTATCTGTACTTCTACAGATGCCTGCATGCATATTCATTGCTCCATTGCACAACAGGTCTGAAATGTCTTTCCTTATCTTCCTAATGAATTTCTATATAATTTTCAATATTTTTTGAGAATCATTTGCTCTGTGACTTTTTCTCCAAAGACTTTGGGGGAAAAATCAGTTGCTTATTCCAATCTCTTGCAAAGTATCTTTTATATATAACTACCTGAATTCTTACAGTGTTGTGATAATTAATATCTATCTCACAGAACTATGCATCCTGAATTCCATTATTGAAATGAGATGGTATCTTATTTGCTATTTCTTTCTAGATGCTCAAATATGTTTTCATTCATTGTTCACTGGTGAATGTTCATTATTCAGGTTAATAAAGTTTTGTAAATAATTTCGCCTTTTATTATTTTTCTGTTCATAAATTTATTATTTCCTGTTTGAATATTTATTTATTTTTCTTTAAGATTGTTATTTGAAAGCAAAGATTTATCAGCTCATTCCATTTTCTCAGCCTTTCTAGTTTGATTGTTTTTGAAATTTTGTATATTAATCTCTTTTTAATCAATTTGTTCCAGTAGCTAATCTTATGAATAATTTTAATGACTCCTCTCTTAATATGTATATATTTTTATCTTTTTTGTTTATTTGATTAATTTTTACTTAATATATGATTGCAAACCCACCTTCGTATACTTCCACAAATGAATGTATATCCACCTTTCCCTTCTTTCCAAGGTTCTTTAGAGAAAAGCCTCTTTGTCCATCATGTAGCAGCTTCCACTTACTTTTCCATCTCCTTGATAACAGCCCTCCCAATGCTGGCTCATCTAGCAAGGCCTTCACAGTTTAGAAATCTTTCCTCATATAATTCTTTTGTAGACGTGTTTCAGTTTTTCAACAGCTTCAAGATGACAAAGAAGCATTTTTAACGTTTTGCTGTCATCTTTCTTGCTTTGTAATTTTACATCTTGTTAGATACAATGAACATATAAAATAACTGTGTATGTGTGTGTGTGAGCGTGCACTCATGTAGCTCCTGTCAATCATGTCAGTCAGATGGCAAAGAAGAACATCAGCACCTTCCTCTACCACTTTCATGCCATGAGAGGGTCTCTTGTGAACTTGTATTCTAGGATTTTCTTTTTCAGCTTGGCTTGGAGGGCAGCAAGTCCCAACAATTCATACAACATCAAGGATTTCGTGAAAATTAAATGAAATACTATGGCCGAAAACAGTTTGCAAATTTTAACTGACTGCAATGTGCAAAGTAGCTTTATAGTATCTCATGACCCCCCCCCCCCCACACACACAGCACAGTGTCAGAAAAGACTCTCTCTCTCTACTTAAGTGGCTGAGTATATGTCCCACAGGCTTCATACCGAAGCAATAACAGGAAACTTCTAGTCTTCAGCCCCTCCTCCACCCTCATGGTTTCATATACAAATTATTACTGTCCAATACAATGCTTGGCAAGCTATTTTTTTCAACATTTTCCATCTGTTTACTAAATGTGACCTCTTGTGTTCTGCTTCTTGCTTTACTGACTGACCATGAAATACATCTTGTCAGTTCTCCCTTCCATTTTGCCTAGGCAGCTGTCATGTACCTGGAACACTGCTCTCTCTTGCTCTGGCTGCTTTTTTCATTTCTGTGCTGCTCTTCCCCTCTACTGGCTGCCTTGCTCCCAGAGAAATGCCTTCCTTGCACCCTTCCCCCTTTCTCTTCTGCCAAAAGTCACCTGCCAATTGCTGGTAGTTGCTGCCTCCCTTGTCCATAGCCTCACATTGCCTCTATTCAGCTCGGTTTTTTTTTTTTTTTTTTTTTTTTTTTTTTTTTTTTTTTTTTTTTTTCCAGCCTTTTCTCTTTTCTGAAGTTCCTGGGCCCTGTTTTCCAGCCTGGCATGCCAACAACCTCCTCCTAGCTCCTACAGTTCTCTGGGCTTCAGGTTCCCCAACCCCCTCTACTCTGCTGCTGCTAGCATCTTCCTCCTGTCTTCCTCAGCTGTTCACTCCCCCTGCTGGGGGTAGTGGGTCTCCCTCTTTCCTCAGCTCCTGGCCCTTGCCCCACAGCTGCCTGCTGCCCAGTGTCTCCACCTCTTTTCTCAGAAGTGTTAAGGACCAAGTCTTTAGAGTCCCAGTGTTTACTTGTGTCCACCACTCATTTGAAGAGGCCAGTTTCATGCAGTTTCTGGTTTTGACTGGTCTAACCAAAATCTGTGCCTATTCCCTGAGCCTATAAAGCAGAATACAATGATCCTAGGGGAACAGGGCACACCATTAGGGAATCATAACAAAGTTTTTGGTGGCAGGTATTTGCCATCTGTATCTTAACAAACTTAATCAGCCATGATAACTGACCCACGCCACTGCCACCAAGCAACACACCCGAACCTGGTTGCTGTTCCGATTTCTAGCGGTAGGGATCTTTCTGATCCTCTCTAAGATGCTGAATACTCTTCAAGAGCAGGCCTAGGCTGCTGCTCCTCAGCTTCCACCCAAGTCCACAGCCCAAACTCCACCCAAGCCGTGGTTGGGGAGGGGCGCGCGTGCTTTTAGATGTGAGGGCAGGGGACGGGAGAGATGTGGGGGTGGATTCCCGCTGTAGGTATCAGACTTCTGGATGGGGGCAGGTAATAAGGAAAAACAGTTCGTCACCATCACCCACTAAAGCCCTTCACGAGGGCCGGGTACCTAATCCAAAGCGCCATACATCTCTAAGAGCCATCCTTTATGAGCCTTCTCCTTTAAGAAGCGCGCCTGCGTGTGTTTCCAGCCGAGTGTGCTGTGTGCCGGTGTGTTAGTGTGTGTGTGTGTGTGTGTGTGTGT